TAAATCTGGATAAGTTGCCGGTCAGTTCATTTTCCGAGGTCCACAGAAATCTAATTGCTGTAGGTACTGATATTCTCTCACACTGAGTAACCCTCTTACGTCTCAGTGGCTTTATTGCCTTGCTTTGGGTAAAATGATTATGAAAATAATGGACTGATATTATATTATGTAACAGTTCAGTACTCTTTTCTTTAAGATATAAGTACAAACGAATTACGTTTTTTATGTTCGTAGTGTTTACCGGAGGGCGACACTTTTATTATTTTCTCTGACATCGTGCAACAAAAAAGAAAGGAATTGTTTCGCATTTCAGCATGGGATTGTTTGCAGCTATGTTCCTGCGCATCAATGAACATAGAAAAGACTGTTCAAAGGGAGGCTTAGTGCTGCAAAACGAGTCACTTACTACAAATGATCTATGGCTGATGCATTTTGCACTTTCATTTCTCTATAGTGCCAGCCTTTTTTACAGCGTCTTTTCTCGGTGTTTGTGCTTCTCGCTTGAAAGGTTGCGTGGTTTGACGCCTTTTTTTCGTGAAACCAAGATGCATTATGACTACTTTAATCAGGCCTTCTAGAAAGAACGGGCTTTGACTTCTCAAAAGACTACCCCCCCGCTCCCAAGTATATAGAAGCCGTATTAGTATTCAGCTAGTTCCAACGTTATCAAATAAGCAAGCACGTGCATTACGTCCTGTTATTGCCTCTGATAAATAATGAACCATTCCGTTTGGATTTCGCGAGAAGACCAAAGAAATATATGTATCAGAGACGCTGTTTGGTTTCAGTGAGAAAAGGAAAATATACAACATAATACTACTACTACTACTACTACTACTACTACTACTACTACTACTAATAATAATAATAATAATAAAAATCTGCAAGTTCTACGGGAAGGAAACTGAAAGAAACTGGTATGAACACCACCCAGACCCGAAAAAAAAGATCATCTTGTATCGGGTTGCAAGGTATTGGCAGCCACTGAATATAAAACCCGGTATGAGAGAGTGAGCCAATATCTGCACTGGAAAATCGGCAACATCTACGCAAAAGGAACTGCAATATATTGGTATGAACATCACCTAGACCCGGTTACGAAGATATGGCCTGTAACAGTTTTACGGGAATTACAGTACACATAGGCAGAAAAATCAAAGCTAATCCCCCAGACATCGTGATTAGAGACTGCAAAGACAAAATATTGCCTCCATATTGATATAGCAGTCGCGGCAGACTGTAATGTATCTTTGAAGATTTTCAAAAAGTTATCAAAAGTACATTGAAATTGAAATCTCAAAATTGTGGCATATGAGGACATCAACTATTCCAGTTTTAGTTGGAGACCTCGGATTAATTGGAAAAGGTTCTAATAAATTCATTGAACGGATTCTTAGTAACCATTGCCTTAAAGAAATACAAAAAAAAATGTAATCACAAGTACAGCCCACACCTTACGAAGGACCTTATCTATGTAAAACACAGAGCAACCTCGGTTCTCGAATGTCTCTAATGTCGGACTAATCGGTTTTCGAACAAAAAATTCGAGATGAAAATGCCTCGCTTACCGAACAAATTTTCGCTTCTCGAACAACATTGCCGAACCAAGCCGAACCGAATTAACTCGAGCCGAACCGAGTTAACCCGAGCCGAGCCGAGTTAACCCGAACGGAATAATTTCTGAGTCGACCGCCATGTTGTATACATTCGAGTATTTTGCCGTGCTTTTCTTTTCCAATTTTATTGTACTGTAACTTTTTTCTCTACATTGAATCGTATTGGAAAAATAGTTTAATAATAATAATAAGGTATGAACACCACCCAGCTCCGGTTACGGAGATAGGAACTGTAACAATTTTGTGCTATGTGTCCTTGAGGACACATGGTACAGTGGATAAAGGCGTTGGTTAAATCCAGTAACAGGACCTAAAGAGTGTGAGTTCAATACCCGATTAAGGCAGTGGAGAACTTGCAGAGGGAAATTAACAGGAGATAACTGATAACTGACATCCATCAAACGTGGAATTAGAACAGTCTACATCGGTGAGCGAAATAAAGGGTTCAGTTCGACATTCCAACCACCTGAAGAAGGTCGGAGCTTACAACGGCCGAAACGTTGTGATAAATATGAGGACCATAGTCCGAATAATGTAAATAATGGATCAGCAATCCCTGTTGGAGATGGAGCCTCGGATTGGTTGGGATCCAATAGACATATTGAAAGGATTCCTGGTAGCCCATGCCTTAAAGAAATACAAAATATTGTTGTCACGAGTACAGTCCACGGCTTAAATATGTTTTTTTTTAATTGTTCAGTGGGAAATATCATGATGCCATTTCAGAAGACCTTAGGTCTCTAGTGGGGACTCGGAAGGAAAAGTGTAAACACCAGAAATCAAAGGAGATAAAATTAAAGTAATAATAATAAAAGGCTTACAAAATATAAGATTGTTAGAAGTTTATTTTCAAACAAAATAGATTGCATAATATTTCTTTAATGAAATATTGGGTTGGTGCACAATTATCAGACGTTTTTGTAAACGCTGTTTATTATGAAAAAAGAAACAACAATTCAACAATAACAGTTTTATAGGATTATTCTGGAGCGTATGATTATCGACACACATTTTTTAAACCTGAAAATAAAAGAATATTTTTATTAAAATAAATAAACGAAACAGCAATTTTTATTAGCAAATAACTTGCCCACAAAAACGCCTGATAATTATGCACCAACCCAATAATAAAATAAAATGTTCATTAAATTAAATTAAGAAATAAAATGCATTATACGCCCTACCTCAGTACCTAAATAATCAACCGTTCAGTTTTGATTATGGGGGGGGGAGAAGGAAAGAAGTCTATATTGGAGAAGTTGTTAGATTTGTTAGTGAGATTGCATAGAGAGAGAGAGAAAGAATCGAAAACGAAAAGAAAGAAAGAAAGAAAGAAAGAGAGAAAGAAAGAAAGAAAGAGAGAAAAGAAAGAAAGAAAGAAAGAAAGAGTGAGAGAGTGAGAGAGAGAAAGAAAAGGAGAAACTAAAAATGAAAAAATCAAAGAGAAAAGGTTTGGTTTGTTTTGTTTTACGGTATATCAACCTCAATGGGTTATTTAATGCCAACAAAATTTTTATTGCTGCTAATATGTTTTTCTTCAAAGATTTATTTCTGGGAATATTATTCCTTGAAGAAATCTATATCTGGTCATATTTTTTTTCAAAGAATGTATAGCTGTTTGTATTGGTAGTACTTTTTTTTAAGTATTGCTTTTCTCTTCAAAAATTATTGTTGCTATTATTTTTTTTTCTACAAAGTATTTCTGGTATTAAAACCTATTTTTACACAAGTTTGGGTGTCAACTATTTACCCATAGCTGGGACCCTAACTATCTTATTCCTACTCGCAAGCAGTTTCTTTTTGTTAAGGACCTCTCGATTTCTAGGCCGGTTGGCATTAATTTCACTGATTAAAATAACAAGAATGCACACTCAAAAATGTATAGTGATTTTCCAAGCGTAGCTTCGATGTGGCACAAGGCTGAAATTATGGGGCGCCTAGTGAGGATTGAAATGACTCGTAATTGTTCTAGCGAGACAAGCTTGCTAACCATTACACCAACTCGAGGTCACCCAATGATTAACTAAGCGTAGATTAGATGTGGCACAAGGTCGAAATTGTGGAGCACTCAGTGAGAATCGAACTCACTACTGAGTTGTAACTGATTTAGAGACACTACCTTGCTAAACGTTACACCGCTCAAAAATGTATATCCTCTAAAAATAATGTATATATTTTTGCATGTCCATTTTCTGTCCGTAACAATAGACTCGCCCGTCAAGTAATGATTAATAAATTGATTTAATTACGGATTGAGCAATGAGAACACCGTTGTTATGGCAAATGAGACATGATTGTTACCCCACGATACTAACTAGCGTTGTGTAACATGTTAACGTTTTTAAAAGCACTAAAATTATTATTAAACTAGCAGCGATACCCAGCTGGTCGATCAGAAAAAGCGTTCAATTAGAATGGAGCAAAAACAGCATCATGTTTAGATGTAACAGTGTCTATCTTCTTGAATTACTTTAAAGTACTTTCATTAAAAAAACTTTTTGAATGAATGCAGTTACTGATATAACAGAAGTCGTCTGTATTTATTCAATCGAAATTAGCCGAGGACATGAAGGGGTAAAACAGGCAACATGAAGACCCACTTCAGACCACAATTATTTTGGGGTTTTTGGAATTCAATTTGTCAGTGTGCTACCAAGGATGTAAAAGAGGATACATTTATAAAGCAATTGTTAACTTTGATGAAAATTGGTTGAAAGATCAACGAAGAATTAAATAAAACAATAAAAATCGCCATTTTTAGCTATTTACGTAGGTTTTCGCTGTATGGATAAACTCTCAATTATAAAGTTAAATGACTGCTAAACAATCAACTTATTGTTGGCTACAATTGAGCGAAGTTTGTACTAGATTGCTTGAAAATTGAGAGTTTTATTTTAAAATTTGTGTTGAAATCGATTTTTCGTTTTTTCGCGTTTTTCCGCTAAACGCAGTGGCGTAAAAATAAAAACGAGGTATCGTCGTGCTCGTCAGGATGTAAGTAACCTACATACCGAGTATCACACAGACAGACAGATACACTGACATTCTCTGTTTTTTATATAGAGATTAATCATTTTAATAAAAATTAGAATAAAATTAAATTATTTTAAGTTTTGAAAATATAGGTATACAGTGAGCCCCGCCTATCCGCGTTTCAGTATTCGCGGCTTCACACATACGCGGATCTTTCTTTAGAACATATGTACTTGTTATTCACGGAAACCCCGAATATTTACGTGTTTTTCTGAAGAACATATGTACAAATTATTCGCCGAGAACTCCCTCGATTCGCGTATATTTTTTTCGATAAGACATATTTAAAATATTCTTGTATTATTTTCCTGTTATTTAAGCGACTTAAAAAACATATAACAGTCCATTTTTATGGTAAACATTGGCAGAATCTTCATTGTAAAAAAAACACGCAAAAAGATGCGTAGTTTTGGGGCTTTGTTCTTTGTTAAGGGCTAAAGCTGGGGTCTTAAAAGTGGTTTATGCGAAGTCTGTGGGCATCATCACAGTTCTGTTTTTAGAAAATGTTTTAAACTTTATATTTTATGTCTTGTTACACATATTTTATACAGTATTTTCAATGGTTGTATCGATCTATGCGTAATTAAAAACGGTTATTGTACGTATGACAGAAAATTTACGCTAAGTGTATTGTCACCAATACTATTTTTCAAAAATGTTTTTAAAAGAGTCTGAAATGTTTCTAAAGTGTTTAGGGTGAAATTTTAAGGCATATGGGGATTTAACAATGAAAATAGGTACTTATAAAGCACTTGTGGAGGGTGTACAAGTATTCGTGGATTCTAACTATTCGAGACCGGTTCTAGTCCCTGACTCCCGCGAATTCTGTTTTTTTATTTATTTATTTCCCCTTTAAATATTAATAATGTTTTTTTTTTAATTAATGAACATTTGTTTCTCTATCTTTTTAACAGACGGCTGCGTTTGGATACAGGCCAAATTATGGTGAGTATATATTTGCATTTAATATCGATTGTTATTACAGACATGAACCGACGATGACAGTCACCTAAAAACAATCTTTTATCCTCTTTTCTATGCCGTGTCCATACAGGGTGACAGCTCTCCACAATTTCCTACGCTTCGCAACTATAAACAGTATTAACCTCTTTACCCACCGTCACTCTTCGGCCCCAAATTTACTGTTTCCGTCTGCCCCTCTTGCCTTCAGTTTGTTGGTTGATTTTGTTTAGCGGCATATCAACAACCCCATGGGCTATTTAATGCTGAAAATTAAATATTTTGAACACAACTGTATGGCTTCATATTTAGATTTCCATTAAATAACCCATAGAGGTGTTGATATGCCGCTAAACAAAGACAACCAACCAAACCAATCAAAATATTTAGATTTCGGCATTAAATAACCCATAGAGGTGTTGATATGCCACTAAACAAAGACAACCAACCAAACCCATCAAAATATTTAGATTTCTGCATTAAATGACCCATGGAGGTGTTGATATGCCGCTAAGCAAAGACAACCAACCAAACCAATCAAAATATTTAGATTTCGGCATTAAATGACCCATAGAGGTGTTGATATGACGCTAAGCAAAGACAACCAACCAAACCAATCAAAATATTTAGATTTCGGCATTAAATGACCCATAGAGGTGTTGATATGCCACTAAACAAAGACAACCAACCAAACCAATCAAAATATTTAGATTTCGGCATTAAAGAACCCATAGAGGTGTTGATATGCCGCTAAGCAAAGACAACCAACCAAACCAATCAAAATATTTAGATTTCTGCATTAAATGACCCATAGAGGTGTTGATATGCCACTAAACAAAGACAACCAACCAAACCCATCAAAATATTTAGATTTCTGCATTAAATGACCCATAGAGGTGTTGATATGCCGCTAAGCAAAGACAACCAACCAAACCAATCAAAATATTTAGATTTCGGCATTAAATGACCCATAGAGGTGTTGATATGCCACTAAACAAAGACAACCAACCAAACCAATCAAAATATTTAGATTTCCGCATTAAATGACCCATAGAGGTGTTGATATGCCACTAAACAAAGACAACCAACCAAACCAATCAAAATATTTAGATTTCGGCATTAAATGACCTATAGAGTTGTTGATATGCCGCTAAACAAAAATTACTCAAACCAAAAAAATAAGTTTATACCAAAACATATAACACCTATAATAGATAATCTACAAAATATATATCTACAATACGAGGCAAAAATGTCGATTTTTCTATGTTTACCAAGACAAGTGGGTAATAGAATTCGTTTTTTAATACAGGGGATTAATACAGGGGTACATATGTACATTATACAAGTCCAAAAATGATTTAGTATTTTGTTGGGTAACCTTTTGCTTTAATAACGATTTTAATTCTTTGTGGCATGCTAGAGACTAAATTCTTTAGTAAGTCAACATCCTTCGCCAGATTTTTCCAGCATTTCTTTAAATCACGGAAAAAGCTCATCTTCTGTGTTAACTTTCCTATTACGGGCACGCTTTGACAACACAGGATGTACATATGGGAACGAGATAGGACTTCATAGAGACTATGAGGTATTATGGTGGCTGTAGTAAGAATGGTAAATAAGAATGTGCTGTTTTGGTGTAAGTAATACCGTGGTATGTTTCGGTCAGTAATTGTGGTTAGCTAAGTTTAAGTTAAGACAGATTGAAGACCAGCCTTCTTCAATCCCTCCTTTTGGCCTTGTGCCACATTTTTGTATTCTGAAAATATTTCTTTCCCCTGTGTTACCTAGAATATACGAATATAATCGGCAGTCTTTGATTGGTAACTAGGTCTCATCATTTTAAAGTTGAAATGGCTATATGCAACCGCAAGTTCTATGGTAACAGTTTCTTCTATCGCACATCGCTTGTGGAACTCTCTTCCTGGTTATTGCTTTTCAGTCAACTTGAATCTTCAAAAATTTGCATATCAATCGTTTTCTTCCATCTTCTTAATTCTTGTCCTCTCTCCTTAATAGTAGTTTTTCTCATATTCTCTAACACTCAGTAACCCCGTTGTGTCTTAGTGGCTTTATTGCCTTTGATCTTCAAAAATTTAAATACAATGTCAATCGTTATCTTCTGTCTTCTAAATTCTTCTTCTTTTATTGTCCTCTCTCCTTAATAGTAGTTTTTTTCATATTCTTTAACAATCAGTAACTCCTCTTCGTCTTAGTGGCTTTAGTGCCTTGGTTGGGGGGAAATTTAAATGCATTGTCAATCATTATCTTCTGTCTTCTTAATTCCTGTTCCTTTATTGTTCTCTATCCTTAATAATCCTTTTCTTTTATTCTTTCATACCGCTTGTGTCTTAGCGGCTTTATTGCCTTGCTTGGGGTGAAACGATAAAAATTTGTAACAGTAAGTATTTAAGTACATGCTGGCGTACAAGTAAGGCGACTCGGAGTATAAGTTTTAAATGTAGATTTCGGGCTATATTCGACCTACAAGACGACCCACCGCAAATGGTATTTTAAAATATACTTTTTTATTTTCTTTCTTTTATTTATAGATGACTGCACAGATCAGGCCGCAGACATTATCTTCCTCTTGGACTCTTCCAGCAGCATCTGGGTAGAAGACTACAAACGCCTCCTTGCCTTCGTGGAAAATCTGGTCGATTCTTTTGATATTGGCATTGGAGACAACCTCGTCCGCGTCGGTGTCATCACCTTCAGCGATCGTGCACACTTGGATATTCCCTTGGACCGTTACAGCGATTTTGAGAAACTGAAGAATGCCATCAAGAAAATCCCTTATCGAACGGGCATCACCAACACAGCGGCCGCACTTAATATGCTTCGACGAGAGATCACGCCGAAAGTGGATGTAAGAGACGGGCCTGTGGTGGCTATTGTCATCACTGACGGCTTGTCGCGGGACACATCGGCCACCCGGGATGAAGCTAAAAGACTCCACGCTTTGGGTGTCAATGTTTATGCGGTCGGTGTCGGCGATCGATACGAAATGGATGAATTAAAAGCGATTGCTAGTGACCCTATCAAAGGTGTCTATCAGGTTGCCAGCTATTCTGCCCTGGAGGAAATCGCTCACCATTTTCATATCAAGCCGTGTAGAGGTTTGTACTTACGACAATTCTTCTATTATCAAATGTTATTAAGATTTGCTTCATCATAGTTTCCGTGACCTAATTGGTAAGACAGATGTCGGTTAAATATGTGTTTTCGATAATAGAATACAAATACATGCCTTATTACTTATCCGGGGGGAATTGCATCTTTTTCGTAGAGACAATACCCAAACGAAGCTATTGCACCGTGCAGTCAACAAAAAACAAACAACGCATGAAATAAAAATATGAAATGGTGATAATTAACGCACTGAACTCTCTCTCTCTGTATATATATATATATATGTCGATATATATATATATATATATATATATATATATATATATATATAAAAAAAAGAACATTAAGATATATAATCCGGTGTTCTTATTTACAAAATAGTGCTCAATGTAAATTTACAGAGCATTAATATTATAAATTAATTGATTTAAAATATTTTTTCGCTACACAGTTCTAACCATGTTTCAAAAATGGAAGCTAAAAGCTTCGAATTTAATTTTGTAATTAAATTAAAGACATTAGTTCCATTTCATCCTCAAGCGAATTTTGGAGTAACTTTTTAAAATTACTGGGTTTTAAAGACACAGCTAAAATCATAATTCATGTTTCCAAGGATACAGAGAAATCCATTCATCCAGACAAGTTTTTTTTTTTTTTTTTTTACGAATTGGTCAAACCCAAACTCAAACAAAAACATTGTTTTCAATCATTATGAGTCTACCGATTGAATAGAATTTTATTATAAACAATTGTCTTGTAAATGGAATTTTTAAAGCATTCTGAATCTAAAAATAAAGAAAAAAAGTGTGCAAGACAATAAGAAACACTATCTGCCAAAAAAAGTGAAGTTTTGTTGAAATCGGTTGAAAAATGTAGGAAATCTGATCCCATATATAAACGAACACACACACACACACACACACACACACACACACACAAACAACCTGGGTTTTATAATAAGTATAACTCGATATGAGTTGTCCCCCCTTTCATTCTCGCGATGCCTCTTAATCGTGTTTTCAAATTGATTTCGTGCAAAAACAATTGTATTTTTCCAATTTTGGGCGCTGTCAGAACCACCGCAAGGTAATTTTACGTAGTCCTGTGAAGTTTTGTTGAAATCGGTTGAAAAATGTAGGAAATCCGATCCAATATATAAACGTACAGACACACACACACACACACACACACACACACACACAACCTGGGTTTTATAATAAATATGATTTACGCATTAGTTAACCTTCGAGCCGCAAAAAAGATGCGGCAAAAAAGGGCGGTTACTCTCATTGTAATATACAGATATGTGTGTGTGATAGAAATTATTAGGAGGCTTTGAGATAATTATAATTAAGTAATTCATCGAGTCTAGAAGAAACCTCCAAAGAATTCAGAAAACACTGGACGGCCGTTTCGTCCTATTTTGGGACTCATCAACAGTGCTCATCTTATAGTAACGGTCTGGGTTCAATACGCACTGCCAGCGAGTCCCAAATATAGGAGGAAACGGCCGTCCAGTACTTTCTGCATTCTGTTGAGGTTTCTTCTGAACTCGATGAATTACTTTATATATATATATATATATATATATATATATATATATATATATATTTACGCAGCATATTTTCATTTCAGCACGTGTGGTTGTATAATCTAGACATATCATGCCTATTCATTTTTATTTTACTCCTCTCAAATCAATGGATCAATTTCTTAGTGCTCTTATTAAACGAATTTACAAGATTAAGAAAGACGCCGTAGTTTTTGTTATTTGTTTTATTTTCCGAAGTACATTCAATCTCATCCAGGATCATCTTCAGTGGTGAATTGCTAAGAAAAAAATTACTGTAATTATTGATTGTGAATTATTTTCTAAATGCGCATGAAACGCTCTGTTATAATCAATTTAAAAATTAAGAATATGTAATGGAGATAACCTGCAATTTTTTTATTGATTATAACGGAGAGCGTTTCCTGCGCATTTACAAAAAAAATCACAGATATCATTACTTTATTTTTTATTTGGAATTCTCCCCAAATTTCGATCGGTCAGCGCATGGCTAGTTTAAAGGGTGTGTCTGATGGGCGGAGAACGAAGTGACGTTTCAGAATTTTATATATAGATGTACAAGTACCATATATTACATTACATTATGTTTTGTTTTCCAGTAAGACCCGAAATACCTTCTACCACCAAAGCTGCTCCCACAACTACAAAACGTCAACCAACAGTCCCTCCCACTACAAGACCGCGGCCACGACCAACCGCTGCGCGTACAACTAGGCCTCGTCCGACAAGACCGCGTACAACTAGGCCGCGTCCGACAACTCCTCGCCCAACAACACCGCGGCCGACAACCCCACGTGCTGTCATACCAACGAGACCACGCCCTAGCTGGACATACCCACGCAGGCACAGGCCTTTCCAAATAGCTCCAAGTATTTAATAGCTTTTTTTTTTATTAATTACATTATTTCTGTTGTTTTGTTACACAACCATACCTCACAAATTTTCTAAAGAAGGATCTGCAATATAATCGATCCTGACCTGGCATCCCGACTTCAGTCACTTTGTCACCTATGTGACGTGGCTTCCCTCTGTCTTTTCTAAAATATTTTCATGGCAATTACTCTGACGAGCTCTTTTCCCTGGTACCCCAACTACATGGATTTAATCGCTCTACTAGATTGGCAGCTAGGTCCCACAATTTTATTGTTCAAATAGATAAATGCAACCGCCACTTCTACTCCAACAAGTTTCTTTTGTCGCGCTTCCCGACAGGGGAACTATATATATATATATATATATATATGTAGGTAGGTAGGTAATAATCCGTTGGTACAATCCAGACGAGTCCTATTAACATAGAATTTGAAATATGTTAAACCTGACTCACAAAACAGCGCTCAATTATAATTCTCATTAAACAGAGCAAAATTTTCCTTTAGTTAATGACCATTTTCACCTATGAATTTTAATTTTAAAATTCGCATAATTTTTCAAACTGTTTGCTATATGTGAGCATGCGTGCACGTTTGTGAGTGGTTTGACTACTGTATTTGGCCATTATGTGTGCATGTTGTATATATATATATATATATATATATATATATATATATATATATATATATATATTTTTAAGATATTTTTATGTTTATACATTCTTTTTTATAGATACAAATATTTAAGTAAATGCACTGTTTATAATAAACAGTATTAAACAACATTTACTGGCCTGAATGTCCGAGAATGTCTATACGTAAAGGATACAGGTTCGAATCCTGTCAGAGGACGAATATTTTCTGTGAAAATTTCTCGGACATTCAGGCCAGTAAATGTTGTTTAATACTGTTTATTATAAACAGAACATTTACTTAAATACTTGTATCTATAAAAAGAATGTATAAACATAAACATGTCTTAAAAATAATCTTTCTTTCATTTATATATATATATATATATATATATATATATATATATATATAAAATAAAAAGAAAGAACAGTAAGATATAAAATCCGGTGTTCTTATAGATATTTTTATTTTTACAAAATAGTGCTCAATGTAAATTTACAGAGCATTAATATTATAAATTAACTGATTTAAAATGTTTTTTTCGCTACACAGTTCCAACCATGTTTCAAAAATAGAAGCTAAAAACCCCGAATTTAATTTTGCAATTAAATTAAAAGCATTAGTTCCATTTCATCTTCAAGCGAATTTTGGAGTATGGAACTAATGCTTTTAATTTAATTGCAAAATTAAATTCGGGGTTTTTAGCTTCTATTTTTGAAACATGGTTGGAACTGTGTAGCGAAAAAAAACATTTTAAATCAATTAATTTATAATATCTATATATATATGTATATATTCTTAATTTCTACTTTTAGGTGTTATTACATTCGGGTTTGATCTCCTAACTATGGGCGCCTATCGGACCAATATGATCTACAAGTTCATTGATTACTTACTCCCCTTCAGTGGTTATGGCCGGTTCGGCGTCATTTCTCACGCTTACTGCCCTGAAGATCTCAACATCCCCATCAGCCGTGTACCGCAGGACTTGAGAGGCGGCAAAAGGGCCGATCTGAGTGGCACCGCTCCGAGTATTTCCCTTGGTATTGGCCGGAGAAGTGCTCCCGATCTGGTCGATGTTGTCCAAAGGATGAGGCACGACCTCCAGGCAACTGCCCACCGCGATGCGATGTCCGGTTACAGAGCGAGACGCGTCGGTGTCATCTTCCTCGATCCGGATGTCAGCGCCGTCACAGGCGAATTAATGGCCGAAGTTGAGAGGATGGTACAGCAAGGCAACGAACTGTTTGTGATCAACATCGGCCAAAACGTCTGGACCCACCCGGAATTCCTGTCCGTCATGAGCAGCGATTCTATTGGCAGTAATATCATTACGGTACCTACCTACAAGGATTTGGTGTTCAGGGTCCAGCATTCTCCGTTCCAGTTCAGGGCGCTCTGCGATGGTTACATGTCTCAATTTAATGGCTAAAGCAGCAGAGCTTTCTCCATTATTAATTTGTGATTTTTTTTCCTGCTCGACATTTTAATAAAACGGCGTAAATTTAATGATGGCGTGACGAATTATTTATTTTTTCGAAACTTTGTAAAAAAAAACACAAAAAGCAAATTAAAGAAACTTATGAAAATATATATAATTATAAAATGAAACGATTACTTAACCAAGGGGAATAATCACAAAATGTACAACAGGCTTACTTCCCTTGTTTTGAATATGACGTAATCAATAAATTAACATTTTAAATTAAGTAATCTCGTGGTATTAAACCAGATATATCAAATTGTATAGTAATCAATTACTATGTAAGTACTTATTGTTAACTTAAAAATGGTAATATGCTGGTCGAAATTATTAGTATAGCAGAGACAATATATTTTATATAAAATACTAACACATTTTTGTATTAAGTTTCATCAATCAAATATATATATATATATATATATATATATATATATATATATATATATATATATATATATATATATTGAAAATTGGTTACATTATCAATAAAAAGGGAATGTTATTTGTTGTTTTCGTTGTTTTTTACAAACAGTTAACTTACAGGTTTAAAAAAATCTCTTATCGCTCTGTTCTTTCATGAGCGATGATGGCTCACCGCATTTTTCACTTGTCTTCTTTCTTTATTTTAAAAAATGATGTTCACCCTGCACAAGGCCTGAGAGCCACTTGAGGTAGAGGGCTATATTGTAATCAAGCGATCAAACCTCAAGCAAGGTGCCACCAGAAGTGAAAAAAAAGAAAAAAACCCGGACAATGAACCGGAAACCCGATCCTAAACAGGAAACACGAGATGAACCACTATTTTCTTTCAAAAGACCCGGGAGATGTGTGAACTGGATAATAGGAAAACCTATTTACTCCTATTGAGAAGAAAAATAAATTAATAATTAGTAAATAAAATTTCAGGTGGAAACGTTAGAAATATAGAATTGAAGTACACTTTAGAAGGAACCGGAAACCCAATCTTAAACAGAAAACACCATATAAACCTCTACTCCTGTTCCAAAGATCAGGGAGGTGTGTGAACGGGATGGTAGGTAAACCTATTTTCGGGGTGTATGATGAAATTTGTTTGGCCTTAAAAATATTGCGTCATCCGTGATTGCATCAGATTTTTATCCCGCCCAGACACTATTATCTCGACTGTCGATTAGTTGTCCTACGACCATTGTCTGCGATGGGTGTTACTCCAAGAAAGCTTGAGAAAATTGTAACGCTGCACGAACACACTGGCAAGGTTTATCAGTGTGCAAATCAAAGTACTGCCCCGGAAACTCTCCTGATTTAAATCCAATCGAGAATCTGTGGTTAATCTGCAAGGAACGACTTCGTGGAATGAACATACGAATTACTAACATGTGCACTGGGTCATGTTTCATTGGAAAAATACGAAAAAAAATGTAAAAATAATAACGGAATTATTTGTTTTGTTTGAATTAATTTGCACACGGGTGTATAACGTAAGGAAATATTCATAATAATATTCCCAGGAAAGTTTATCTTAAAAGTTTATCATCCTCAAAATCCTTTGTAGCATCCAGATTATTACATAAACGTATGGCTTTTAGATTCGCGGCAAAGAAGCGACACCAGTTACTTGCTTTTTTTTTTACTTGAATTGGAATCAGGGAAAACAGCTGTCAGTGTGAACGATAAGTAAACCACACCAGGGACATTATGAAGACATGTAATATATATATATATATATATATATATATATATATATATATATATATATATATATATATATATATATATATATATAGAGAGAGAGAGTTACTCCAAAATTCGCTTGAAGATGAAATGGAACTAATGCTTTTAATTTAATTGCAAAATTAAATTCAGGGTTTTTAGCTTCTATTTTTGAAACATGGTTGGAACTGTGTAGCGGAAAAAACATATTTTAAATCAGTTAATTTATAATATTAATGCTCTGTAAATTTACATTGAGCACTATTTTGTAAAAATAAAATATCTATAAGAACACCGGATTTTATATCTTACAGTTCTTTCTTTTATATATATATATATATATATATATATATATATATATATATATATATATATATATATAAAAAAAAGTTTCAAATTAAAAAAATAATATATAATAAATAATATATATATAAATAAATAAATACTTTCATAAAATAAAACATTATTATTTTTTAATTTGAAACTTTTTCTATATATACATATTAAGAAAGTATACGTGGCTTCTCATTATATATATATATATATATATATATATATATATATATATATATATATATATATAATCGTCCCAAACACGATAATACCCCTAAGAGTGAAACAGATTGAAAAGACTTTAGAAGGAACCGGAAACTCAATCTCGAACAGGGAAGAAGGGATAACCTTCTACTCAAAAGACGGGAGAAGTGTGAACCTATCTACTCTTATTGAGGAAAAAGGCCAGGGAGGAGTATGAACCGGGCGATAACGTGAACATATCTACGCCTATTGAAGAGATAAAAAGTAATTAGTAAATAACTGTCAGAGTTCAGGTGGAGACGTTAGAAGTATAAATTTGAAGTGAATTTTAGAATGTGACCCGAAACCCAATGTTAAACAGGGGATGAACTACTACTCCTGTTGAAAAAACCTGCGAGGAATATGAACCGGTTGACAGCTGAACGTATTTACTCCCATTGAGGAGAAAAATAGATTAATAATTAGTAAATAAAATTTCAGGTGGAGACGTTAGAAGAATAGAATTGAAGTAGACTTTAGAAGGAACCAGAAACCAAATCCTAAACAGGAAACAAGGGATAAACCTCTACTCCTGTTCAAAAGACCTGGGAGGAATATGAACCGGGTGACAGTCGAACATATTTACTCCTATTGAGGAGAAAAATAAATTTATAATTAGTAAATAAAATTTCAGGTGGAGATATTAGAAGTATAGAGTTGAAGTAGACTTTAGAAGGAACCGGAAATCCAATCCTAAACCGGAAACAAGGGATAAAAACTCAGTATTCTCATAAGAATTTCCACTTTGTGGAACAGATTCCTTCTTGAGTCCTTTCACGCCCATGACAATCTTAACTTCTTCAATTCAAGTGTCAAAGCTTATCTAACTTCTTACTCCACATAATCTTCATTTTCTAAATTTTTATTACATTTTCTACCTTAAGTGGCTCTTGAGCCTTGTATGGTGCGAATTCTAGTATAAACATTTCCAAAAGAATCAACTAAATTAAACCATGCATATCGACGAAATGCATCATAAACTCCATATGCAACTTCATATTTAATGACGTTGCATTTAAATTTTGTTAATCATTTCACCCCAAGCAAGGCGGGAATGCCACTAGTACGCAGGAGATTTACAGGGAGGGAAAAAGTGAGAGAAAAGACTGAGTATAGGGAGGATTGAGGAAAGGACAAAAGATGGACGGGATTCAAGAAGACAGAAGATGGCGATTGACGTTGCACTTAAATTTTTGAAGATTGGAAGCAAGGAAGCAAGGAAACGGGGGAGGGTTTCACAGGCGGGAAATGTTGGAGTAGAAGTGGCGGTTACATTTAACTAATCCAGCAGTAAAAGAGTGGGACCTAGATGCTAATCTAGTAGCACGCTTAAATTCATTTAATCGGCGCACCAGGAAAAAAACCTCGTCAGAGCAGTTGCCGTCAAAATATTTGTAGAAAAGACAGAGAGAAGCCATGTCACGTCTCTGAGAAGGTGAGTGAAGTCGAGATGCCAAGTTAGGGTCGATTATATTGCAGATTATTCTTTGGATTTTGTCAAGAATCTCCAGATGAGTAGCAGGCGGACCGGACCAGATATGGCAATATTATTCAATGAACTGACGCATGTTATATGGTGAAAGACACTAAACTAAATAAGGGTGTATTAGCTTCACCAGACACTGAATATTTATTCACCAAAGTACCCGTCAATGAAAGAATAGACATCATGATTAACAGTGTCTATAAATAGCCATCACTTCCTCATCCCAAAAATAAAACTAGCAATTCTACTAGCCCGCGCCATACAAGTTCCCTTTTACGAGCACACAAGAAATATAATCGCATAAACCGATGGTGTGGCCATGGGTTCAACCATCGTACCAACTCTCATTGGAATTTACATGTTCATCTTTCAAATTGACATTTGTATAAAATAACAAACAAAACAACAAAAATAAAAAAAACTCACACTGCCACACCCACACCTACACCCGAAGCTCAACAATTTATATCCGCTGGGTTGACGATTTCTTTTTTATCCAAATAATAAGTGTAAAAAGCGTACTCATGTTTGTAGGTATTCTTTCCGTGATACAGCTTAAATAATACATAACACCCCAACCAATTTAGGAGCATATTGTATCCTGGACCCCTGCTGAGTGCAGTGCCAAATTATATTAAAATTAGACAAGAGGTTCTTCAGCTAGGGCTTTTTTTTCTTTTATTATGGCATTTTTAATAGGAAATTCAGTATTTGTTTTATATACATACTAGCAGTAGAGCCCGGCATTGCCCGGGGATGTAACAGTAAGAGATAGATCAAGTATCGACCATCATGAAGACTGAAAAATAAAATTGACAAAGATTATTGTTTAGGTTGACGGACCACGCATGTCTTAATTAGTTTTTTTTACGAATTGGTCAAACTCAAACAAAAACATTGTTTTCAATCGTTATGAGTCTACCAATTGAATAGAATTTTATTATAAACAATTGTTTTATAAATGGAATTTTTAAAGCATTCTGAATGGAAAAATAAAGAAAAAAGTGTGCAAGACAATAAGAAACACTACCTGCCAAAAAGAAAGTGAAGTTTTGTTGAAATCGGTTGAAAAATGTAGGAAATCAGAACACACACACACACACACACACACACAACCTGGGTTTTATAATAAGTATAACTCGATATGAGTTGTCCCCCTTTCATTCTCGACAGCGA